AAAGTATCGATTGCATTTACAATACCAATAGTTTACGTGATTGTGCCTATTAACATCTGTATGTATTCAACAAATTGGTTATAGGTGGCACAATATTCCTTCACAAACGCATACACAAAGCTACATAGATCTCACCGTTCACACCACAGAGAACCAGATAGATTATATTTGTATCAACAAAAAATTCACAAGGACAATGGAGGATGTGAGAACCAAGAGAGGAGCTGACGTAAATTGAGATCACAACCTGGTTGTGGCCAAGATGAAACTGAAGCTAAAGAAACACTAGATAGCTGAAGAAACAGAATTACTAAGGTTCAATACAACCTCCCTACGAGATATTAACAAAATCAACGAATTCAAGGTAGCACCTATAGACCTCTCTATAGATGTCACTCTATAAACGATTGAAGAAATCAGGATAGCCATCAAACAAACCAAGAGTGGGAAAGCAGCAGCACGTGACAACATACCAGATAAAGCTCTGAAGTCAGATATAAAAGCAACTGCGAACGTGCTCCACAATCCATTCAGGAAGACTTGAGAGAAGGAAAAAGTGTCGACAGACTGGAAAGAAGGATACCTCATCAAGATATCAATAAAAGATCTGAGGAAGTCTGAAAAATACAGAAGCATCACATTACAATCAGTACTATGAAAAGTTTCCAACAGTGTTGCTGAGCCGGATGATAGATTCAGTAGACGTATCGATCAAAAATCAATTGAATGGAACTCGTCACTATACACATCAACTTCCTTGACTACGAAAAAGGCGTTTGACAGCGTGGATAGAACATCATGAAACCTTCTTCGACACTATGGTGTACCTGAGTAAATCGTCAACATCATCCGGAATTCATACGACGGACTACAATGCAAAATAGCGCATGGAGGACAGCTGACAGATGCATCCCAAGTAAGGACCGGAGACAGACAAGGTTGATTACTCTCTCCCTTCGTCTTTCTTCTGGTGGTTGACTAAATTATGAAGACCTCCACATTTCAGGATAAGCATGGAATACAATAGAAAGCTTGGATGCAGCTAGACGATTTGGACTCTTCAGATGACCTGGTCCTTCTATTCCATACACACCAACAAATGCAGATCAAGACAGTCAGGGCATTTGGGGGCAGTCAGTGTTGCGGCAGTCTTCGTATCAGTAGGCCTCAACATACACAAGGGAAAAGGCAAAATCCCCAAATACAACACGGAGAACACCAACCCAATCACACTTGGTGAAGAAACTCTGGTAGAGCTGGAGACTTTCGCGCTCATGGGTGAAATGCGGATCGTTTTCGACCCCTTTGTATTAAAATATGGATACCGTATTGCGCCTTGCTTTCCGCTTCGTTGATTTCGCAGTTTCATTGAACTCACTGTCTTTCGAACTGACCTGTCCAAAAATACTGCCTTCAAGCAGCTAACCTTTGACTAAAAATAGGCAGTGAACTGTTGGCAAAGGTTCAATTGGACTAATCTGATTCCTCCAAATGCGAAACTGCCGTATGCTGCTCCACTGCCTAAACTCAATCTGTTTCTACGGTAACTTAAAAGAAGCAGTGTCATTACTTGGTAAGTTAGACACGCGCGCTCGCCCGTCAAAATCAAAACAAGTAATCGGGTAAATATCGGTTCTATAATTCATCATAAATTTAAATGTACATCGTTACCTAAACAAATATTACCACCCGGCTATTCATCCAATAATTGTCCAATCAATCAAATCCCAATGACAATAAATAAAGAAGTTGATAAAAGATGCGGGAAAAATTACCAGTCACAACAAATGAACGCTATTCTATCCTGACTGGATAGAACACGTACAAAAGAAAAAGCAAATCAATGTGGCTGCCGCCGAGAACAAGTATCAAGTAAAACAACATAGATGCAGTTCGGGAAGAAACACAAAAATTTAGTGAGGGCGTAAGAAAAATAAAAACTATAATAAAAAACACAAATATTAACAACCCACGTGTAATCGAAAGACTAACAATGTACAATTCAGAAAATCAATAGGAACATATTGCAAGTGTATACATGGAGGGATTTTCACACACACACACACAAAACATTCAAAACGGATCTTACACTCATTATTGTCAACAAGCTTTCTTATAGATATTATTTGGTTTACAAGCACGTCGTTGGTGAAAACCTGGTTGTTTGACGTTGCGTTTCTTGGCTTTTACGACTATGTAATAAAGCCGCTATCTAGGCTAGTAAAAACAGGCTATTCTCGGAAGTCTCCGATCGCATGCTTCAAATTACTGAAGTAAGATAATCAAGTAGTTCGTGTGGTGTTATAGTCTTCACATTTCAAAGGAATGCTCAGTTTACCTCGAGTTTAAATAAGACAAGCGAACATGAAATCGCGCGAGTTCTCGTGAAGATCTTATTAAATTGCTGTCAACCGCGTGGCGTTGAGATGCGTAAACTGTTTTTATTTATCACTTCTAACCGGATTTTTGAATCCCTTCGAAAATCAGGCTATGTAAAGATGCTATTTCTTGGAGCGCTTACGTATTTCTGTTTCAAACCTGTGTATTTCAGGTGGCTTGGGCAGTGATTAAATTAACGTGGGGTAACAGTGTGTCAAGTTGAGCTCTCATCAAGACTATCAGCTTATCTTCTTACTTTCCAGGTTTAATGTTGGTTAGGAAAATTACGTTTTTATAATTGTAGTTTAAAGTGATCATTACTAACTTCACTAATTTTCGGTTTTATTTATTTCAGAGTATCATATTCGGAACTATATGACTCTCACGATTATGGGTTAACTGATTTTTGCAAAGATATTAACGACCCAGACAAACTAGCTACTAATTTGGCCTTGGGTGTATTCATAATAAAACTGACAACTCAAGAAATCTTACTGGAAAATGATGATGTTAACTTCCAATGAACTGGGAAGATAGTGTTATCAAACTAAGTAATACTTAATTTATGTTTTTAAGCACATATTTAAAAGGACATGAAAATGTTTATAATTAAACTTTGTTTTTACTATGTAGTCAGACACCATAAGTCGTTTTCAACGCCACAACACAAAAATCACGGGGCGCTTTGCAGACAAATTTGATTTAGGTCCTATTTTCTCGAAACGATTCGCTTAATTCCCCAGTGAGTCATATTTGGTACTTACGTCATGCAAACCACTTTACAGAAACTTCTTTGGATTTTATTGCATAATGCCCAGTACTTGGCAGACTTTTACTGATCACCAAGTTAAATTAACTTATGAGTCGTTATACCAATATTTCTCAGGACTATCCAGCTCACACTCTGGTAGTCAGCGACTGATCTATGTTCATATTAAAGAGGAGTCAGTGTGCGTACACTGCGGTCCTGTGTTTTATGATTCAACTCAGTCGGGGATTATTATTCAAAGGGATTTTATGTTGACACAAACACCACATTGCAACAGTCTGAATATATATATATATATATATATATATATATATATATATATAAATTTAATCCCTGTACAAAATAAGGAAGTGAATGAATACATGAACTTTAATTCTGTGAAGCTACTAAGATGTTTGCGGCCAACTCTTAACCTATCACCCTAAGTTGTTACAAACCTAAAATAATATAGGAATATGTAATAGACAATGAGTTAAAACTTAACCGGTCAAAATGTTCTGTCATGAATATTCTGCCTCATTTGATACAAGCAACTACATCCTCCATAGAAATCCACTCCCGATTGTCTCCTCAAGCATAATCTTATGTTTGTAACCACAGAGAGCTTAGATAACAGCTCAAACTACAGGACGGATTCAGTGAAGGCAAATGCAACTCCCCATTTTATGCTAAGAGTCCTTGGCGCACTCACTACAGGGTATTTCCCAACTTCGTTTAAGGCGTACACACGGCAGTACATTGAGATTCACAATATCTTTGAAAAAGACATCAGTCTCTTAGACCAAGTACGGAAACTGGCAACAAAGTGGACGATAGGCCTTAAACATAGATTGTACATGGACAAGCTCCAACACATAATGTTATTCTCTACGACATACGGGAGAATAAGAGATTATCTGACAATAGCATACAACATATTAATTTCCACGTCACCCCAACACAAGCACAAGAACACCATCAGAACGCTCCTTGAGGTAACCCTCTAAAGATTGCACATCAAAGAACGATCGCATATGTGCGCTCCTATTTTTCCCTCTAAAAGTTACCTTCATTTAGAATATTCTCTCAGCTGAAGTGACCACGGCTTTAAAAGGAGACTTGATGAACCCGTGTTCACCCGAAGATAACAATCTCCCACTCGGAATAAATATGTCTTATGTACTTACCACGGTTGTCATTGCCACATATCAGTAACCAATTCATATCTCTCTTATTATTATTTCCGTTTACTCCCTTATTCTTCCAATTCTATCTTCTTACACCTATTATGTAAATCATTTGTTTATTCTTGAAACAATCCTCTTCACTTAGCACTCGAATTATCACATTATTATTTTCAGTGCAATCACCTAACTTCCCACCTGGTGATGCGATAGATGCTAGTATCCAGAAACCCTATCGCCCTGGGATAAACGCACTCACTGGAACTAAAAATATACAAATCCTCAACTAATAGCCAAACTGACTAGAATTAGTGCAGCCGAGTGTCTAGACTGTCACACATTATACATAACCAACTATCTGGGACCATACAGAAACATCAAGAAGAGAGAGCAAATAAATTATTCGGTTTATACAAGCACGTGATATAGTTATTAGATATTGGATGTATTGGAGTTGGTTTGGGTAGTGGCGGTAGGAAAAGTGTCGAAGGTCAGTTTTGATTTTCGGTTCTCCAAATACCTACTTCCGATGTCTAAATTGGGTCGTAAAATTATAAATACACCCAGGGCACCAAAATCTATAGGACCATACAAGTAATATAAAACCCAAATCTCCATTTTGTAGTCAAGGTGTAGCTGTGAATAACACCTTATATATTTCAGGCCAGTTGGGTCTTGATCCTGACACAATGCTTTTTGCTGGAGATGATGTTGAATCACAAACTCATCAGTCTCTTAAAAACATCAGAGAAGTAGTTCAGTCTGCTGGTTTTACTATGCGGGATGTTGTTAAGACCACTTTGCTTTTAGCCGATATGAATGATTTCGGGAAAGTTAATACGATATATGCACAATGTAATTTTTGGTACTAATAACTCTACCCTCTTTCAGATTTTGCAGATCCATATCCAGCTCGGGCTACTTACCAAGTTGAATGTTTACCGAAAGTATGTTGCTTGTTTAATTAATCCGATAATCAGAATGGGAAAATAGAAATAGAAGCAATAGCAGTTCGGGAGGAATCAGGATCTCAAGGAAATGAAAGCTTAGAATAATCTGGCTCTCCAATTTTGTCAGGAGCTTTGCTCAATAGAGTTCCACATTCTAGTAATGAATAAAGGAAACCGTAGTTCTTCACAACTTTGGAGTATTCTTGCACGCGCAGTCAAGTGTAGTTACAAAGAAGGAAAGCCTAAATTATCTTGTAGCAGGCACTTTGAAACTAGTCGTTTGACGGAAAAGGTTTTTGAAGTCCATCTATTAGAACAGTCCGCCGAGGTGATTGTCGTGTGCATTTATCACTTAGTATTTGTCATCTCTTAGTTTTACTCCCCACAGTATTTATAACTAAACGTGTTAGGTAAGAATTGAATTTCTATTTGACCTGGAAACAATAAGCCACACCTCAATTCCCACAGCGGAAACAATTCCCAGGTGGTTTAGTTAATATAACTTCGTTAATAAAAGCATCCGTATTATCTTTCTTATTTAACCAGTATTTTTCAGTATTACAAATAATCGTCTGTTTCAAACATTAATTTTGTTTAGGGGGGTGTCAACGTTAGTACTGTATACTGAAACGTTTTTTGGGATTCTAAGTGGTCTAAAATGTAACTATGCAATAACATACAGATTAAGAGATTCCAGAAATTATCGACTTGAGGGTTCCTTTTGAAGAGTAAAGCCGTGACTTGGCAAATCTGCCCATTAAAAAAGTGTTTTTGAGTTGCTTTACTGACTCGTTAGAAGTTCACTGAGGGAATAATCAAATTATTAATGTTGCTGTTTTTACATACCCCTGTTACCCCTCGTGGAGGAGTATAGGCCACCCACCATAAGATTACATAGCTTACCCTTATCCCTTTGAATTTTATGGATATACAAACTTGACAGTACTTTCAAACCTAACTAGGTTATCTGTACAGATAGAGGGTTTTTACACCCATGTAGTTCTATTTTAGCGAACTTGTGCCCATTGATCCTATTTCAAAATCCACGTCTCACTTATTGAAATATCTTTAGGACACTAAACTAACTCGATAGGTAAGGTTTCTTGTCTTACAGGCTTAGTTTTGGTTAGTCTGCCAAACAAACATTAATTTAAAAGTATTTTTCAGTGAATAACCACGTTGTCTCACTAAACATGTGTGACCGTGAACTGGACTTTAAATAAATCGTTTTCACATGCTACTACCTGTTATCCAGAGATAACTAACATTTCTGCTTCTAAGAAAACGAGGTTCAGAAATTAGAAATACTACGGCCAGTGGTGAATCAAGTGGGATTTTAGTTCCCCACTATAAACATATGGTTTTCTGTCACTTATTGGTTTGTGATTAACTTTAATATGGTTACATGATAGTACATATGTAACCATAAGAATAGTTTAAAGATACATATTGGATTTAAAAGTTTTTCCATTTTCAAATTTAGATGCCTAACATCAGCAAAGGCACTCTAATTGAGCCCATATATATTTACATTTGACCACCTTGTGATATTGTCGATTCGCATGTTTTTGATGTCCAAGACTTGGGTCCTTTTGGAGCTTGATCTGACTCGTGTTCCCTTAGTAGCTTTACTCTTAGATAAGATGTTTATCCACTTGTTTGTTACTCAAATGTCTGAACTAAAATATATCAAGAAATTTTCCTTATCAGTGGAAATGTCACTTATTTTTCACTTCGATCGTGCAGTGGTCTGTCATATGTCGCACTGATTGCAAATAGTTAATCAGTTTTCTAGTTATTTTCAACTTTGTGACCAACTATTGATGTGTAAAATGTGTGGAATTTAAATGACTAATAAACGAATTAGTACTGGACAGTTTGTCAGCAAATGCCACAAATGATGAGAGGAGTTTCATGTATGCACAAGTTTCGATTGACATACATTGGTTTGGACGGTTTCATAGTATCACTAGCTCACAAAAAATATGACTTCAATTCGAGTTCATAAGTATTATTAGTAAACAATTTGTACCATATAACTAGCGTATTTTTTGTATAACTTGGAGGAATGTATTGTGATGTAATAAGAACAGTTTAGAAGCTGTATACTTCAGTACTTATTCTGTTGTAAAATTTTTTGCCACCTAAAACTCGATTCCGTTAAAAGCCAATGAATCTCTTTAAGGTTATCTAATCTAAACCCATTACAGCTATGGTAAAAGATTCGAGTAGTTTATGCGCAATTCGCTAACAGTACATTGCAGTTGAAAATGGAGGGACAAAGCAAAATGCAAAAGGGTGCTTAGGTTTTCAGAAATGATTCTCAGCCGTGTAGAATGAATATTTTATTGATCAGAATCTTAGTTCGTTTGTATTTCTGCAACAATACTGACGTATAATGCACAAATTAGTTCGGCAATATTTCATTTTAGTGCAAATGTTTAGGTAAAGAAAATGGATCGTCTGTTGAGATTGTGAACCTACACCAAATGGCTGTTTTATTGTTTTGACGAAGACCCGATTGTTAAATTGGTTGGCAGATTTCGTTAAGATGACATTGAACTGGATGGTTTTATTGTGAAGCATTAATTGTTTTTCTAAACACCAGCACTACAAAAACACATGAGCTACCGATATTTCTGTGCAAGTGACTAACAGCATATTTTTTAGAAACTGAATCCCATTGATTGTTGTCAACAGTTTCTCCCCTATTATCTCAGTAATATGAAAAGACAGTTCATGGAATTTGAGGATGTATCTAATGATCAAAAAAGTCACTTATATGTTTAACATTAATCCCGTCATGTGTAATGTGGGAATGAAGTCCTAATCATTAAATTGACCTTGTGAAAGAACTTAACAATAAAGGGTTTATTATCCATATTTTTAAAATAAAATCCAATGACCCTGACCTGTTTTGTGTTTTGACAAGCGTATTTATATCCACAGTTTACATCACGTACTAATTATTCAGATAACCACAAAGCCAGAAACTACTGAACTGCTTTTTTTTACGTAGTATGAAGTAGATAATAGTCACGCAATAGAGTGAATTGTGTGAACCATCATATACCAACTTAGTAGTCTAAGGGTTAGACACTCGCCACAAGGTCTAGAGGTCCTGAGTTGAACCCCTTTGGGTGTCTCGGATGTACACTGTCAAGGAGTCTTGTACTTGGACGAATCAGGTGTCTAGTGCCTCTTGGTTTTCAATGATCGTCAGTTTGTTTATTATTATTATTATTTGAACACATAAATATTGGTACAAGAGAGCGCCAAAATATATGCGCCACACAAAACAATGAGAATTCGAAGGGAAAGAAAAAAAAGGTAAGGAGCGTGAAAAAAAGAGAACAATAACGAAGAGGTTGGTGTAAGGTAGTGTAGTAATAATAATAGTAATAATGAGGGAACGGAAAGGTACAATCAGAAGAAATCTTTCAGTTAAGGAAGATACAACCACTTTTTATGAAGAGTGTAAAAGGTTACAGCAGGATCGCCACTGGCTTCTATTCTGAGCCATATCTGATAACGTCTCTAGCCACTGTGTAGCACCATCTCTTGGACCCCAACCAGGGAGTCGTGAAGGACCAACACAAGCCAGTCCTTTGCAGCTTTCTTTCATACCACGACACCATGTCATGCACTGACCACCTCTCCGCTTCTTCCAACCAGTCCCAGAGTCGGCAAATAATGCACGACGTGGAATTCTCTGGGACGACATTCGTAGAACATGTCCAAGCCACCGAAGTCGATGTTTCAAGATGGTGACATCGATTGCATTATCATCTGTGCCCGAACACACGATGCCAAACCTCTGCATTACTAACATGACACTGCCACTGGATGTAACGCAAACTGAAAGTTGGGTGACCGTCACAAATCTCATATACTCTTCTAATGCATGTAAATCGCTGATCTCGTATATTAGGAATTATATTTTGACTGTCTAAAGACTACAACGGATAAATCGTAGCAAAAATTTTCGTTGCGGATTTTCTTTGTAAATAATTATGTCTTCATAATGGTGCTTTTGGCAAAATTATAAAACAATGTGGAGTAAGTTAGACCTACTATATTGAGGACTGAAGTAATTTTGTAAACTAACATTATCTACTAAATGTTCATCGTGAGATAGTTTTTCTGGTAACATTCAAAATGAAAGTCAGCCCCATCCTTTCAGTTTTATCGTAATGGTTATTCGTTGTCTTTAATCAATATGTATATAGACTTCGTAATTGGTTATCTATAGCCAAGTAATTCTCTACAAGTTCATGCAATAGGATATAAGTCACTTATTTGTATTAGATGCAATTATATTGCCTGGTCATCCATATATAAACTGATTGGATAGTTTTTTATGAACGTAATGTGTTATCCCTGAGTGATTTGAATTCCTGATGAATTATGTTCAAATCCTACAATATTTCATTGAAGTATTTATTTTCATATATTTTCGATTATAAATAACAGATAGATGAAAATACTTTGTGGTTGGAACTTGTACCGCGTCCGGTTATTCACCAGTCAAATGATTCACTTGAATTACCCACCATTGTTTCTTCTTTACATGTACGGATCTATAAAACACTTAGTATCGCTAAAACAACCGACTCTTCTTGTATGAATCCATTGTTAGATGTGTTAACTGGTTTCGATAACACAGGGAATGTTCACTTATGGTCTAGTGAAATTTTATTGGCCCACAGTATGTTCTTTGATTGCCTTTATCCTGGTCTATGGAATGAATTGTATAATAATTTTGGTGATCATCCGATTGAAAACGTCTGTGAATTATGTGCTGGTATGACTGGTGCTGCTGGTTTAGCTATTTCTTTACGCAAATATTCAAATATATTTAAAACGTCATATGTGTTGATTACTGATGGTAATGATCAATGTGTTGCATCTGTCTCCTCTATTATTGAGCATAATTCTAAACGCTTATTGGATAATTGCAATCTTGATCAAGATTTCCTGTTACATATGGACGTAAAAAATATACGATGGCCAGAAGATGTAAGCTACATGTTGTGTAGTGTGATGTAAATGACTAACGAAACAATTTAACAACCAACCATAGTTTGGGATTTTCGTATTTATTA